CCCCCCCCCTCCCCCTCCCCCCTCCCTCGTCACCACCATCACCCCCTCCCTCTCTCCCGCCCTGTTTCTCTTGTACTGATTTCCCCTTTCCTTCACCATCCACGACGTCCTCTTCTCCCTCGCCCCCCTCCTCTCTCTCCTCATATTACTCTTACTTCCTTCCTTCTCCCTCGCCTCCGACCCTTCCGCCTTCGGAAGTTTTCTTCTCCGGTGAGGCGGTGTCGACGGGAGAGAGTAAAACCCTGGCTCCTTGTCGGAATCCGACGACCCGTCGTGTTCCCTCCCCCCTCCTTTGTCCACGTCCGAGACCTCTCCATCGGCGTCGGATCCGTCGAAACTCTCCAGGGACAAACCCGACATGAATATTCCCAATTCCGATGGATTACTCGCCTCGGCGTCGTCGTTTTCGTCCAGGAGGGAGCTTGTGCACACGGACAGCCTCGATAAGCTGCTGTTCCGGGTCTGGTACTGCAACCCATCATCCGTGTCTTCGTAGTCCTCGTCTAACATAGAGGAAGAAACCATCGTCAAGCTCTCATCCGACGCCATGAGAGAGAAGAAGAAGAAGAAGAAGAAGAAGAAGGAAGTGGAAAGTGAAGAGACTGGCGTTTTGGAGAGTCTTCCGTTTTTTGGGCTCTTTTCCCGTTCCACGATTAAAGATGAAAAACGAGTAAACTCGCTCCTCACTCAGACAACCATATTTATACCGAGTCACTGAGTCTCGGCTCGGAGTTTTCCTCTATTTACGTTTTTGCCCTTCTCTGTTTCCCTCCCGATCGGTCCAACGGGTTCGATCTATTTACTGCATTGGATAAACATCAGCATAACGTCGTGTTAATAAAAAATAAAAAAAAAATCGAATCGAGTGATCCTTACACGATAGCATTATAATCAAGTATAATGAATATCCCAGTTATTATTGACTTTTATAATGCAATCAAACACACAAATAAATAAATAAATAAATATGGTAGACCAAGATCTTTGTGGAGACCGGGCAGATAATTTTAAACAGGAGAGATATCTTTCATAGGTCCCATAAAATATGGAACTTAAATTGACGTTTCGTCAGTAGCTTATGGCATATGCTAGTGTGATAAAAATGTGTTTTCTCTAACTCATTTTAAAAAGTTGCGGGTAGATATCTGTAAATAACAAAAATCAGTACGTGTGTACATATACATATACATATATACATGTATTTTGGCAAGTATTGGCTTAGATTGCATCATGTATATATGTGGTGTGAAGTAATCATACTCATCATTATCATCATTAATTGTACATTGCATTGCCATATATATGTGTGTATGTGCCCGTGTATAGACGAGGAGAGAGCAAGTGGTGCCAACAGGGATGGACAGTGCTTCGTCAGCAGTGGCCTTCGTGTACGTCAGTCGCCTTCACAAAGTTTCCGTGTGGATCCCCCCCTCCTAATTATTTAATTATTTAACGATTTTCCATGATAATTTTATAATAATATTTTTTGTTAAATTTTTTATTATAATAATATTAAACTAATTAATTTGTAATTTGCGAGTTTTTGTGTTTCAACACAGAGATGTTTCCATCAATTCATCTATCAACGTGTGCCACGTGGGGAAACTTCCCCGGGCTAAAGAACAGGGGGGACGGTTAACTATATGCGTCCATGCCATGCACATGCACGACCCTTGGAAACTGGAAACCCTAATATTGACTACTTTCATATCTGGTAAATTTTTGCAAAAAACTCTCATATCAACCTTCTAATCTATTTATTTTTTTATTTTTATTATTTTATAATTCAAAAGTTGATCTTATCCTTATCTCAACTATATTTTCAAAAAAATCGAAAAAATCCAAATAAACATCCATTCTCAAATAAAAACTCGAATTTATGTTGAAAAAGAAAATTTTACCTTCTATCTTTTATCTTTTATTTTATACTGAGAAAAAAAAAAGCTGATACTTTATACTAAAGATTAAAAAAATCTGATATTTGTTTGGTAAAGAGCATGGGCTTTTGATGGGTCAAAGTCAAAATCCATTTTGACCGAAAGAAAACGTACGCTCGAGATTTCGACGCGTTTCACATTTGTCGGATATCGGCCACGTGGGATCATACCCGCCAATTTTTTATTTTTTGTATCTGGGTTATTTCAGTAAAGGTAGAACATCCGGGGAGTAATATATGTTTACATAAATGAGGTTTCTTCCTTTTATTGTTTTCTTTAACCGACAAGAAAGAGGAAGACTTGTCTTTCCGACAAGCAACCTTTAAAGCCTCTCAGAGAGGCAGAAGCTTCGCGGGAAGACCATGCGGCTGGAGAGTGAAATTATCAGCTGGCGGGTGCTTGTAATCATCTGCGAGAGAGAACCTGAACCTCTGCAGAATCATGGCCATGACTGTCTTTGCTTCCGTGAAGGCAAGGTTTTGGCCGAGACAGGCTCTTGGTCCCGCCGAAAACGCTATGAGCGCGTTCGGGTGTTTAGCGGCTCTGGTAACGCCATTTGTGAAACGCAGAGGCCTGAACTCGATCGTTAGCGTCCTCTCCCCAGATCTCCTTATCTCGGTGCATCTTCACTAGCGGTATCAATAATAGGGTTGTGCCTTTTGGGATATTCAGGTCTCCCAACTTCATGTCCTTTGTCGGTTTTCGGGCCAATAGTATCATGGGACAGTACAGCCTCAATGTCTCCATTAACACCATGTTCATCTGCATGTTATAAACGGGTTTCTTCATGTGCAAGCAACCATGTCGGTGAATTAGCCGTTTGTAGAATAAGACACGAACATTTAGCATGCAATTTGAATCTGTGCAATGTGTCGGAATCTGGGACAGTGGTTTTGCCGCATTCCTTCAAGACTTCGACCCTGAGTTTCTCCTGCCAATCTTGATTCAGACTCAACAGCATCGTCGTCCAAGTCAGTAGATTCGAGGTTGTTTCATGTCCGGAGAAAAGGAATGTCTTGCATTCGTCTATGATCTCGTTCTTTCTCATCTTCAGGTTTGACTAGTCAGATTCCGCGGCTGTCAGCATCAGACCTAAGTTATTGGGCCTGGAGTTAAGTTTCTTGTCTATGATTTTCTCGAGAGCCTTCTTCAGTTTCCTGTCGAGCTTCCACATCTGAAGATTCGATCGAAGGCGTCGGAAGGTACCTTACACCACAAGAAACAAGTTAGGTTTTAATACCATCCAAGACCAAAAGGGATTAATTAATTCAAGTATATGTGATTAAGTTACTGGAATGGGTGGAAAGAAAGAAATCATCGGATTTTCCGGAGAAAGAAGAGAACACTGGAGCATACTCGGTGGAAGATCGACCGAACCATCAGAACAATTTTACTATCTATCAAAGGAAATCCACCCAATGATAGGGAGTCGATACTTGCAGATTGGTATTATTTGACGCGAGAAACAAGAAGATAATTTAGTGTTGCTGTAATTTTTGAGATTTATTACCATTTTCTTATGGGTTCCAAAATCTTTTGCATACAAGCAAAAGCGAGGCTGTAATTTCTTTTGATATATAATACGAATCACCTTTTAACCAAAAAAAAAAAGTCACTGGAATCCCGTGATGAAGAGGTTATTTAAAGAAGGACCGCAACACTTGGCAATCGCTCTCTGCGTTTGAAACGCTTCCACAGCTTCTTCATAACTGCTTCCAAACGCATTCGTCGCTATGACGTCAGCCGTCACTCTCTGAAACTCTGTCTCCATATCCATCGTCTTCATCTCATGTGTTTCTCCATCACTCTTCTGTTCTTTCCATCTTTGGAACATCTTTCTCGTGCATTCCCCCATGGGCTTCGGCATTACCTGACCAAACAAATTACAAAAACGTGTGATAAATCAAAAGGGGTATGTACTGAAATCTTCTGTGTTGACCGATGTATTTGAATCGGTGATGAAAGTGGGAAAGAACGAAAAAGAACACAAGCGATTAACGAGTTTGGATCGTTGTAGGATCCTACGTCTCGGCCAATTACCTTGGCAATCCACTAGCTCGATTGAGAGATTATACACGCACCCTAAAATAAAATTCTCTAAAACATGAATTAGTAAATTCTGTTTCCTGGATCCAAATCATCAAACCTTGAGCTTGTCAATGGAGAAAGCAGGGTTGATGATACGTCTGTGTCGGACCTAATCATGAGACTCGACGAAGACAAGTCCATTGCCGGCGAGTGTAACGAGTTCGGGTCTTATTAAGGATTTTCCGTAGAAGCCGAATTTGTTCGACAGTATTTGCTTCACTAATTCCGGCTCTGATATATATATCATTGGTTCTGCTCCTCTCCAGTGCATGAATGTATATATTTCCTGTAACATGTAACCAAAACACCGTTTTAACATCAACGTATATATATATATATATATATATATATAACCACATATAACAACAATTTCAGAATCTCATGGTGGAAAGGAGTACCGTATTGGGAAATCCAAGCGTGGTAATGGGGAAGAACACGTGGGAAGATATCGTGAGAAATGGGATCAAGAACTGAAGCCATAGCTTCAGACTTCATCTTCCTGATCTCGCGGACGTTTCCGTAAAAGAACTTGTAACCTGGTCCTGACACTCCCTGCCTTCGATCGGAAACTTCTGGACAGCGTAAACGGCCGCCATATAAGAATCCGACAGGCTTCCCATATCTTGGGAACTACAACTAGGACCAGTGTTAGTGTCAGGAAACTGGTTGTGCTCAGAAGCTCCATTAATTTGACTCGACAACCCTGAAAACTTGTGTCTTTTTGTTTGGAGTGTTGAGTATATATATATGGGGGGTTATCTATTTATATGCATGAGGTGAATGCTTATATATATACACACACACACACATATATATATATATATATAATTGTGTATGTTTTTTTCTATTATTGCTGGGACTATTATATGGGTTTATACATATGAATAACCCACGTAAATATATATTGTGGCATGTTCGATATGGTCATTTTACATTTCCATTTTATTTTCTCATAACCACAAGTCCGCCTAATAACAAGTCCAAACCACAAGTCTTACGCAGTTTCGTAATGACGATCATTCGTAGTTGTCGTTTTCGATTAAGATTAACCATTTACTGTGCTTCGATGTTTATATTACAGAGAAACAAATATCATTGGATGATTAAAATATCTAACCACTCATATCCATAATGATTAATTCCATTATAAACGGCAATGTATCGGTTATGACTTCCATCTGTCTACGCAAATCAATGTGTATATTACTGTATTATTAAAAGTTGAGGATAAACTGTAATTATCAATTATTTGTGCATTATCATAATATTTATTTATTGACCCTTTACGTGTGGGTTTTATCTCACATGCATATCAATTATTTTTCTAGAATTTATATGATGCAGAAATGTACGAAACAGCTTTTTTTTTTTCCCCCATAGAACGTCACGCAGTGCGGAAACGTAAGACTCGAACGACAAAGCATGCCGATTCCTGTACTGTTTGCCTTCCTCGCTCTGGTCACCGATCCATAGTATAAAATCCACATTCGCGATTGCTTGCTTCCGGCGGGAATCGACTTTCAAATTCGTGGATTTCGGACGAAAAGACTAAAAGAGCTTAACGATTCTCTTCGAATTGCTGCTGATTTTGCCCTAGAATTCATCGGGATGAAGGAAATGGATCCGGATTCTGTGAGAGAGTTCATACGAAGAGAAGTTCCGGACTGGGACGACGAGGTGGTTGCTACAGCCAGATTCAAGGCTTTTAGTGGGCAGAGATGCGATTGGGAACCTAAATTTCATTTCTGGAGAGATTTAATTCTCAAGGTTTCGCGTCAATTCGGTGTGTTCATTATTGATCCCATCCAGGTTTGGCTTATTTCTCTGCTTCGTTGTGGTTCTCGAGGAAAAATGTTTTCTAGTTCGGTGGAAAAACACTTGCTTTTATCGTTTCTGAAGGTCAAGAAAGTGTGGTTTGATCGAGGAGGGTTGACGCCTCTATGCATTGATCATGTACTGGTGAGCTTCTTCGTATAGTAGTGAAAGCTGAAAAGTCATTCCCTTTATGGCCTTTGTTCATGGGTTTGACTGTATGCCGTTTGTTTTTTCCTTTGTTAATTTTCAGTCGGTGATGTATAATGATGGCGATCTTATGCGGTTTAGGGATCTCGAAGATCCGGGCAGTGGGCGCATATCACGTTTATTGAGGAAATTGAAGAATTTAACGGTTCAATCTGCCATGACGCCAGAAAAAATTCGGGAAGATAGACTTGTTATTATTCCACTGTTGCAGGTCTGTCGTCTCATCGATCATTCATGTTCAATCAGATACGTAAACTTCAGGTTTGGACAAGTTGTTGTCAGTGTATCTTGATGTGGTGTTCGATATCTAGGAAAAGGTGGCTGAGATTGTGAAACTGTTATCTGAGGGACACTGGACTTCTACATGTGTTGTTACGTTGAAGCAGTTCCAGAATCTGTTCAACGGGCCGGATGAAGCATCTGCTGTCTTGAGTTACTTGTCAGGATGTGGAAAAGCGCATTTTCTCTCTATCAATAGGGGAGAACGTATAGAGGTGAGAAAATGTCTTTTCTTTTCCCTTTAATCTTGTAATAGCTGTTAGAAAGATTGTGGTTTACATGTAGTGCGAGCTATGCAATAGTCTTGAGAAACCCAACTCAGTTCTGTATTGCAGGGTGTTAAAATTTCCCTGACACAAGCAGTAGTTTCAAATGTCTCAAGTGTGGAATGGGATGTTCTGCACTTGCTGAGGACTACAGAAAAGCTTCAGGATCAAGTTGATGTGACTGACCAACGTTATGAAACGTAAATCCCTCCTGATTTTTGACCATATATTCCTATGTAGTTAAATTTCTTGCACAAGAACCATGATCCGCTAGATTTTTGTTGGAACCTCTAGACCCTCAGAAAATGGTTGATAATGTTGTGGCATTTCTTCCTTGCCTTGAAGCATGTCATTCTGGAAAGTTGTATGGTACTTATGGAATTAATTGACTTGCTGCAATGACTTTTTCTTTCTGCAGTTCAAGGAAATCAGCTTTGGTGTTATTAAAATCTGGAAACAAGAAGGCGGCTATGAGGCATGCAAGGGAATTGAAGCTGGCAACTGAGAGCAGAGAAAAATACACATCTCTTCTGAACAGAGTAGAGGAAATGCTAAACGTTGTAGCAGATTCAGAATCAACAAAAATGGTATTTCAGGAATAAAAAGAATCTGCATCTATGAAGCTTATCATGTTGAACCCTTTTGACTAGTAACCTCACCGTAATTTTGAGTGTAGAAAGTTCATTTGGAATGCCTCGATCCATGATTGTGTAATCGGCAGGTTTCTGAAGCTATTAAAACTGGAGCTCGGGCTATGAAAGAGTTCAAGATCAGCGCAGAAGAAGTTCATGTATGCTTGGAAGAAATTGAGGAAACCATTGAATCGCAGAAGCAACTCGAAAAAACGCTTGGTAAGTGATGCTTTTACAATTTAAAGATATACAAAAAAATATCACTTCTGCCTTTTGTTGGTATGGCAGAATCAGCCCCATATCCAGATATTGAAGTTGAAGATATCGAAGAGGAATTCATGAAACTAGAGATGGAGCTTGAAAGTGGCAGTTCCCAGGGTAGACCTGTGACTTCTGATCCTGCAGAAATACTGAGTGATATGCTCTCGGGGCTTAAGTTTGCCGATAGCTCTGTTACAGATCAAACAATGCAGCAAACGGCTGAAGCAGTCCAATTGAAGGATACAGAAAAGCGCATCCTTGAAGCTGCGTAACTATAAGACATTTTGGTTTGTGATGTTCTTCCTGTCCATCAACTTATGTGTGATCATTGGTAATCGTGTACACATATCTTCTTTATGAATGCTATCCTATTGTTTTACAATACAATTATACTAGCACGTTTACAGACTTCAAAGAATTGAGAGGAATAGGTTTAAGAATGTTTAATAGATCCATATTTATTGCGTTCTGGTGTAAAAAGGAGCAGGGTTTATGATTTGTGAAATGTTTGCTAAGAGTGGCAGTTCCAGGGAGGAGCACCTCGTTGAATGGGTTGCCTGTGAAGATGTTCAATGGAGATGAACGCGCACACACACATATATACATATATATGTATATATCTTTGATTTCCTGAACTGGAAAGGAAATTATGGATTTCTGTTGTGCTGCAGAAGTTTGTAATATACAGATGCATTTGACATGTACTCTTAGCCATCAAAGCTAGTGACCAAACTATGATTCCGAGATCCACCCCAAGCCCTCCAATGTAGCTGTTGCTGATTTGGTGGTGCCCTTTCAAGAATGCAATGCTGTATTTTGGAAATTTATCTTTAGTGTCTGTGTTTTAGCTTGAAATTGTCTGAACTCTTTACTGCTTTCTTGAGAAGGAAAGGAAGAACGCAAAGAAAACATTGCCCTTTGCATTGGGATATTTACAAAACCTCTATCTGAGCAGGTAATTATTATTGCTGTTTTCTTTTTCGTTCCATGAACAGCTTTTTCGATTCCTTTAGGAGCTACAAGCTAAGTTTTGAAAGATCAGAAGCATATCTTCACTGAGATGAATGCTTTTGTTGTGCAGCTTCATCATACAGGTATTCTTTGGTAGGCACTTCGATCTTTTCCATTAGACGGCTCCTCCCCAACTGCATTCATTTCCCTGTTTGGTCATCAACATGTTCTGGATATTCGCTCTTGACCTGTGTGTAGATGAAGAAGAACACGTTTAACATCCATTAATGTGGATAAAGTTATACATTGCTAAGCCTATGTGCTCTCTACTGCATTGCAGGAGTCTGAGCTATACTATTCAGGACCAGAGCCATAAAAAAAATAAACAATGTTACACCTGATAGAAGTCGGGATGGTCCATTCACCACTGCTTGACTGCTTTTGTGAATTATCTAAACTCGAGACGGAATCAGACCGTTGAAATTGTGTAGAAGAAGCAGCCGGTCGAAAACACTGCTGGGAAGAGGGTTCTATCGGATAGAAGGAAAAAGATGAAAAGGGCACCGGTCCAGGTTGGTTAGGTAAGGCAGGTCCTGGAACTGGTGAAGACACAAATGGCGGTGTGCCAAATCCTAGACCCAAAGGAGAGTAATGCACCAAAGGCGAGTAATACATCATCTGTGGTGCAGCAAACCCGTTCGCCATTGACATCAAGCGGAACTGAGATATATACTACATACAGGTCAGGTCAGAACGTGGTGCTTACTTGATTTCTGGGATTGATAGAAAACATTGCTGATATTTATTTACCTGAATTTGGAGTTGAAGTTTCCTCGTATACTCGATAGCCTCATCTAACAATGATGATTTCTTATCCTATTCATGATTGAGCGGAAGTAATGTTTGTTAGTGAGGCAGAATCTCTTCCAAGAAAGTGAATGAAAACATGAAACACATAGATTTCCCCTGTGTTTCGTCTTTATTGTTTCATTATCTAATCTCAAAACAAAATGAATGGGTCTATGACAAACCTTGTTACAATTATTAGGTAGTAGATTCCGCAAGGCAATCATTCTCTTTTTTATCTCGTGTCTTTGCTCCTGTTTGCAGATATCGCAAATCGATGCATTAGATTCTGGTTTACGAGAAAATAAACAAAGATCAGACAGGGGAAGCTTTTTTGTCCTCTTGATCCATATTTTCATGGATGCATTTGATTAGCTTTATATGTTAGTTGATTTGAGAGCTCACCCTTTCAGCCAAGTCATCAAAATCTCTACTTTGTTTCCTCTTAGTCGTTTTTCTTGCAGGAACTTGCGGCCCCTCATCTTCTGACTCCACATCCGTATTCTGCATTGGAGCAAGAGCTTCTTCAGTTCAGAGACTGAGGAGAAGAGAAGGAACATGATTGGCAAAAACACAAAACAAATCTGAGAATTCTCTTACGGTACTCAGGTGGATGGATCCTTCAGATTCTGCGGATGTTCTCCTCGGAGAAGAGATGATGGGATCTTGGGAAGTTCCACGAGAGCAAATGGAGAAAGAAGAGCTACACAGTTGGGTTGACCAGCCGAGTGAGTCACTACTCTCATTCTCTTCTTTCACTGACCCTACCTTCTCTCTATACCTATTATACCTTCCCATGGCCACTGATTGAGCGTCTGGAGGTGAAAACTCCAACTCCTTGTGGTTAGTTTGATCGGCCATGGCTTTTAAAGAATGCACGGTCGATTCAACACGACCACCATCTCTCTCCTTCACAAGAATCTTGTGTGCAGGCAAACCCACTTCGGTCTTTGGCTCTACATGTATTGCCACCTTCTTATTATGCGCAGCAACTGATAACTTGATCTTCTCCTTGGTCGACTTATCAGTTTCTTCACGTGTGTTTTCTCCAACAGGGACGACCTGGGTATCTCCAAGATTCTTGTCGGCTTCATGCAAATCCAAGAAGAGTGATGTTGTAGACGGTGGATTCCTCGTGCTGTAGACGTTGGATCTACGGCCTCTGGTAAGAATCTGCCCATTCTCCCACACCAGCTCCATATATTCATGCTCCTCTAATCTCCTGCATCAAGGAATCACGTTTGAAGTTTAAAACATCATCATACCTGACGCATACGTACGTGTATATATGTACAAAACGTTTTAAAAGCGTAAGTAAGTAGATGAAAACGAGAACTTGCTTAGATATGAAATTTGATAATGGTGCAAAGGGGTCTTCTTCCATTGAAGTGAGTGAAAATGTTTTTTTTTTTATTTTACTTCAAAAGGAGATTTCGACTTCAGTCCCTTCTTCTAGTATGTGAGAGAGGAGAGGTAAGGTTATAGTCTGTGTGTAGCCCCTTGGTTTGGTAGACCCCGTTTCATTTACTGTTAAGCTTGTACTGAGTCGGGATTATAATAATTGGGATTAGTAGAGGCTTAATTTGATTATAATCGTAGCTGATATTTGTTAATGCAATTCGAGCATCTTATATTCATTGAATTGATCATATCAATGATTATTCCGTTTGAAAATACAATCTTTCGTTTTTTTTCTTTTCCTTCAGTGAATTTCTACTGTCAAGATATCTGGTTTCTAGTAGAATATAGGAAGGAAAATGATCTGATTATAAAAAAAAAAAACTAGGCATAATGTTTGACAGAGAGACAGACAACCTATGACAGAGCGACCACACCCATCATCAAATCAACAAGTTCCATCCCCCGTTATGTTTAAAGTGGGATGCCGTTTGCGTGGTCTCCCGTTATTTTTTCGGTGGTCACCCCACTCCACTCCTTTGCTATTCACGGACCCCCCAAAAAAACAAAAAAACAAAAAAACAAAACAAAGGGTCAAATCCAATTCATATTTATAATGAATTATCTTTCTAAGGCCATGGAACCCTTTTCTCATCAGTGCTCATATGATACCACAAACCTCCCCCAGGATGTTCCTACAATTACATCTCTCAAGCGATCTTTCTATTTCACACACACACACATATATATATATATATATATATCCATAGAAATAAAATAGTAACTCAATGAGACAAATAGTAAGAGACATTAAAATGGTTATGACGAACAAATTCAAGAAATACAGGCTAAGGTACACCGTCGACTCAAATCATGTAAAAGCGCAGGTCTACAAAAAAGTGACAATAAAATCATTTTTTGTAAGATGACTAGTTAAAATTAAAACTGGAGGGAATAAACCAAAATTATGTAAACTGAGAGATGGAAAGGAATATTATTCGGAGAGAAGGGGATCAAAGAAATGAGTGATAAACGGACCCAAGTGAAAGGTCCCCACAATCAAGAAACGTTCCCGGGCCCCGACATTCGACTCCCATCCGAACACCTGGCCTTTCCTATACATGCCTTCCTGTTTTTTCATACATACATGCATACAAACAAAGAACAAGGGAAAAAAAAAAGAGGAAAGACAGAGGAGGTGGGGTACGAGGGAGCGTGCGGTTCACGTGATTCCGCGTGATCCAACAACCTCCTCTCCCCTTCCCGTTGTCTATTCTTGTCCCCCACTCTGTTGTCCTTTTTTGCGCATTTGATTTTTGATTCTAAACATCAGGACCGACACTGTGCACTTGGCGTGAAGTTTGGAGAAATGTTATAACAAACGGCTACACAAAATTCCTCTGGTCTAAAGTTCATAACAAACTACTCACTCACTCACTTAAACCAAACCTAAGAACATAAAAAGGTTAAGACCCAGCAAGAAAACGATAGTTTGTAGAAGCAAGAGTCAGAGAGAGAGATATAAATCTCATGACCAAGTAAGTAAAGAGAAGGACTTACCCAAGTAATTGGTCGCAGAAACGGCTCTGATGCTGTCTGTCTTGTCCGGAGAGGATAATAACACATGTCACTCACTCTTACCATATACCATTTCATCCTTGAAGCATTCTGCCACAATTTTCTTCAGCTGGACCATCTTTGCTCTTGCTGACTGCGACGACTCACACAGAAAGATCCATGTAAACGTGTCATACAATGAAGAAAACACCGGTGGAGGCTAAAGCTTTGTGGTGCTTCCTGATGTTATTATTGACATGTTGTTTTCCTTGAGATTTGGTGTGTTATTAATAATGACATGAGGTTACCATGCGTGTGATGAAATGAAACACAAAGTAATGAAGACTTGCCTCGTTAACAGCACTGATTCTTCTCGTTGCATTGACGAGTTGCGCCTCAACTTCTCCTTCCAACTGGGTGATAAGTTTCTGATGCGATGCTTCTGTATCATGGAAGATGACATATATAATTCAACAACACTCAGACAATTATCCAATAATAACTAAAGAAGAAACAAAGCGAATAGGCAAGTAGGTAATGTAGGGGGGCTGCATCATGCTAAGCAGATATTTTCCAGAACAATTAGGATAACCTACTTTGCCTCTTTATAGTTCCTTTCAACTCTGTCTGGTTTGCCTCAAGCTCTTCAATACTACTTTTGAAATCTTCAAGATTATGACTTATCTCGTCCTTCAATTTCTCCCGTATCATCCTCAGTTTTTCTTGTTTCTCTGCCAAAAATGATCACATGATCAGATACCACAAAAAAAAAGCTTGAGGTCGGTGTTTGGCATTTTCTTATACAAAGGGTGGACACAAGTACAACTTCTAGATGCAACGTCCATACGATACTCTAATTATAAATCAACATGAGCATATCGTCTTAATAAAAATTATGGAGCAAATTGTATGTCTCATCAACCAGAACTGCAGAATGATGAAATACCGGAGAGAACCCTAATTCTAAAAGCCATAAATGTAACCATTGTTTAAGCAACTGGACAAGGATGAGCCCTTTTTCTGTAGGTAGTTTGCTGAATCCATAAACAAACTTGCTAAAACGCCAGCTTTTTTACTCGTGAATATGTTTTTATGTTTTCATCTGCTAATGATCGCAAAGCAAGTCAGAGTGAACGAGTTCTGTTGTACGTCTATACCTTGGACTCTTGTCTCAGCGTGCTTCCTCTTTGTTTTTGTTAGGTTACTCAGCTTTCTCCTGTACAGTACAAAGATAATGATTGATGAATAAATATATCAAAGCTGCAACACAGGATTAGTTCAGGAAACATACACATCTGTAAGGATATGGGACTGGACACTCCCCATCTGTAGATTTATTTCCTCGGAGACTGATGCTATAATTTCTGAGGACCTTTTTCTAGCTGCAGATTTCAGCTTTTTCTCGAAGTTTTGAAGAGCCAACGCAAAGAGTGTAATAGCCCTGAGACATGATAATTCAAGTTCAACTTAGAGAATAACTAAGTCGTAATAGAGAAGAAAGTAGTACTAGTGTTTAACGCTGTGAAGAAACCTTCCCAACCCATCATCTCCATTCAACTCTGAGGACCCCGGGAAGCAATCAGTTTCATGGATCCCTGTTCCAGGGAAGAGAAGTAATAATAAGAACTTTGCATAAAAATGACAATGTGAAGGCATATAGGTGTACATTATACCTTTTGGGGAAGACAAAGTAGGACTTGGCTCATCTAGCCTAGTCCCTGCAGGATTGGAGTTTCTTTGAGCAGAGTGCAATACAAACAAAGATTTCCTACGACAACCATGCAGAGAGTTTCGTCTTTCTTCTTCTCCAGAATCTGTGTCAGATCAATCACGTTTTACTACAATGTGGACTTCGTCAGGAAGTTGAAAGAGAGCCAAGGAGCCCAATTTCAATAAGGTGCAGGAAAATAGTTTAGTCACCCTATGCAGATTTTCCAATATGAACAGAATTTGTTGATCTTTTCCGAATGGAGCATATTTATATGAATTCTAACATAGGTAACTGCATCAGAAAACAATAAACGCATACAGTGGTAATGTCTCATTGCATGTGAATCTTCTTCTGATCCATTTGAATCTCTCTCATCTGATGAAGACTCTGACAGGCCTACCGAATCTTCAATTGGCTCAGCCGAGCTATCTCTCCTATAACGATAATCTCTGCTCTTCTCTAAGAAATCCTGAAAATTAATAAGGAAACACAAAAGTGGAAGAGGAATAACTAAAGCCTACACATGCACACTTTTATTCACTAATCATACCATAGCTCAAGTTTATAAAGGATACAGATGATTCCTGTTCTGTATTTGTTGCTTGGCATGCTGTCTGGGAATTTTTCTTGGTTCCAAAGCTAAATATAGGTGTTTCTGTCTCTTCTAGCATGGGACTGTTATCCGAAAGATGTGATGGAGTTACTGCAGGAGAAAAGCAAGGAGAGGGACTACAGATGGGGGTTGGATACCCTAGCGTCGGACTATGGAAATCATCTAGTGGCTCGACAGGATTTTCCTTGAATGGATTACTCAGCCCTTCATGTTTACCCCGGCTTTCTGATGTTCCACGCAAAATTCCTGGTTTTGTTGATGTTTCCTTGGCTTGTGGTTGATGAAAATCTTCTTCCCTGATGTCACTCTGCAGTTTCTGTAAAGGAGCTTTGTCCTTGTAAGCAAAACCACCAAAACGGCCTTTTGTATTAGACAATGAAGACGTTTTATCAGCTCTCACATTCTCAGAAGGTAGAATTTCATGCTTATCCTTTTCTCTCAGAATCCCTTCAGCATCAACCTTTTCAAGAGAGTGAGCCTTTCGGCATTGGTTAACAGTTCTTCTCCCTGTCTTTTGTTTCTTTGGCATGGAGCTGACATTCATTGCAGGATCAATTTTCCCCAGCAACCCTTCCTCAAAAGAGAATATATTATTTTCTTGTTCTATCTTTTTGCGACCTAAGTTTGCTCCAGCTTTGGGTTTCTTCTGAGTTTCTTTACCTGAAACTCTCTTCAGCAACAAAGATCTAGTTACTGGTCTCTGGGTCGCATTTACAGGGCTTTCAGAATCAGTTTCAATAGGATCTGAATTGTGCCTAGGCTTGACAAGTGGATCACCATTTGGATCCTTGTCCTGTCGTAAATCTGAGTTGTTATCTACCACTTCTGGGACCTCAGAATTGGAATGTTGTTTTTTTGGTGATGAACCTTTTCCAAGTATCTCCCACAGCTTTGTTCTCAAAGCATCAGTGCTTCCATTTTCAGCATTGTCTGGTTTATCCATGGCCATCCCCTCTGATGTAACCTTTTCCTGTGAGACTACAGGTGTAGACTCCTCCATCCTCTCTGATAGTCCACCATTTCCTTTCTTCCTCACATAACGGTTTGACTTACAATCGTTGGACTGAAAAGTTGCGACTGGATGCCTCTGAACTGAGTATGCAGCTGGTGCCTGATTTACTTCATTAAGTCCCTTCCATGTTCCTTTGCTGTAAGACAAATTAGAAGTTTGCTTTGAAAGAACATTCTCTAGAGTTCCCAATTTTTTATAAGAGGTTCTAGGAGACCTCCAAGGTGAGGTCAGATGATCTGGAGCCTGAGCTGGATTCACGTGATTCACAGCTGAGTTATTTTTATCTTTCTTGTTCATCTCCAAGTCTGCTGCCGTAGCTGAGTTCAACTTTTCTACCCTAGGCAGAGCATTTCCATCACCCTTATTTGGCTCGAGATTCCTCTCGGGCGGTGAACCCACCAACACTCCGATAGACATCTTTCTAGATTGACTACATGGGAAATAGTTGCTGCCAGAACTCCTAAATTCGCTCATTTGTTCCTGAAAAATCAGAAGCACGGGATCACCTATTTCTGATTTTCAAATAGAACATCCATATAAACATGCATAAGAAACGTTCCGCAGTTTTCCCTACGGATGATAAGCACTGAGCATTACCTACATTGACATGCATTAGGCTACTAGGAGATGAGACATCTTTACATCAGAATAGGTGTGATTATAAACACAACCATGACAAACATTTCCAGTAAAGGACCAAAACAGCATTCCAAGAGCTTCATCAAGATTAAATAGTTGGGGGACAGCGAGAAACTTCAACAAAGTATACATCCCTAAGAAGCAATACTACGATAAGAAAATAAATATATTTGAAAAACAGGACACGATGAAGCCCTTCCACGCGAATGCACTCTCATCTGCCGTGATTATGCGACGAACAAAAACGATACAAGATTTTGACAAAAAAAATAAACTCAAAAAGGAACTGACAACAAATCGCATATGCCAATATGAAGCAGATAGTAAGCACAGAACCAGGTAGAAGATCCGAAACAAAAAAGAAAAAAAACAACTTACTAAACCCTAATCATCGCGAAATCTTCACCACACCAAAATTTCACCGACTTTTACATTATATTTGTTCAATTTTCTAGGAAAAACAAACATAGAAACCATACACAACTGGCTTCCGGGGAATAAGCCCTTCACTATCATCGTAGCTACATTTGATCATCGAAATTTGAAAATTGATTATGCGATATAACCGAAATAGCGGCAAGAACTCAGCGATTCAATACTGAATCGAAATGAAAATCAACTACGAAAACAAAACTAAATTGGGAAAAATGAAGCTATAGTGAAGAATCGCTTACAGTCGACTGGCCGTTTGAAGCCGGAAGTACTCTAAACCCCGGAAATAGCCGAATTAACGATTTGAGTATGAAGATCCCAACAAAAAAACGCAGATTCTTCCCGGAAAATCGGAGAAGACAACGGAAATTCGAAACTCAGCAGAGAGAGGGGTGTCGAAAGAAAACAACGAGGCGGGGAAATTGAATTTTGATTTTGAGATCCTGAAGCGGAACGGCCGAGTTCCATTTATATACTGCGCGCAAGTCGGACAGATTTACCCCTACGATTTTCTCAGAATTCCAACAACAACCAGCCCATCGATGGTTTTATTCCACAGCCGTCGGATCGTGTGGTAGTACACGTGTCGATCTCTAACTCCGTTACAGTTTATTAGTATTCTTTTAAAAAAAAAAAAAACGAGATGTCTTCTAAAATTTCAATTTATAAAACGTGAATGTATATAATACACCAGATAAAAAAGAGGGGGTGAGGTGAACATCTTTAGAGAGTTGATTACATAATAATATCAACCCGGGTTTTGTATCATATTTATTTAATTCCACATTAATTAAACTTGAAATGGTTTAGGTGCATGGGACCAAGTTGAGCGTTAGGGTTAGTACTATTTTCATGTTACGTGAAACATTATGTTATAAAAGCATATATAAAATATATTCGTCCCACGGATTTTTAGCAAACCGTCATGGTTTTATAAAGTTACGGTCCATTAAAAGTTGTGAGAGAGTGGTTTTATATTGTAAATTTTGGTAATGGGATACCATATGCGGACAAAGGCGATGAAATGTCACGTGGAGGGGGTGCCATGCAAATAACGTCATATATAGCTAGGGTCTTAATCGTGCTTATAAGATTTGATAAAATCATTCACGGGGTGTGTGCGAAATCTAAATCATGCAATATAAATTATAATACAATATATCTATAAAGGCATACACACGCACACATTATTATTTACTTTATCGAGTTTGTGCACACGTTAATGTATTTAATTAGCTTCGTGAGAAAAAGGAACATCGCACTAGATTTATTTAACCCCCCTTTGAATACATTTTTTTTTTACAAATCCCCTTTGAATGCTTGAGAGTACTAGAGGTGGACACGGGTCGGATATCTGGAAAAATCGAGAGATTTAGATTCGGATTCGGGAGACTCGGGTATTTAACTATAAGATTTGTATCCGGGATTTGGTATTTACGAGTATCCGGGGTACGGGTATCCGGAATAATAGTCGGGTACTCGCGGATATCCGGATCCAAATTTATTTAAGAAAAACAACAATATTCATATATAAAATTTTTAAAACATGAAGATATATTTATAAAAATTGATGAATTATGATAAAATATATTATACAAAAGAGATAATAAGATACAAATAATAATAAATTTAATTTTTTTGAATTAATATTAAAAAAATATGAAATTATTTCATCTAAAATAATTGTATTTTATAAAAATATTTTATAAATATAAGATATAATTATTTATAATCATAATACGCGGGTACCCGTGGGTATCCGGTTTTAAAAATTCTATTATCCGGATTTGGATCCGGATTCACGGGTATTGAAAAATCAGGATTTGGATTAGGGGTGGCCATTTCGGTTATTAACCGAATAACCGAGGTCAATGATTATGTACACAAAAGCCATATTGCCGTATTGATTGATGCTTAATTCAAAAGAAAAAGACAACAATGTCAATGAGCGTTGATTATAAAAAAAATGGAAAATTAAAATAAAATGCATGGCAGGAGTGGGATGAACAAAGGGTATGCGTTCGTGAACTTCACAAAGGCAGCATCTGTGGGGAAGTTCGTGAAGGCATGCAACCATAAGCCATGGGATCTTTTCAATTCCAAGAAAAGACTCGAAATTGCGGCTGCTAGGATCCAGGTTTTGCAGCACTCATCATTACCTCCTTTACATATATATATTCATTAAGCGGTTCGGTTCGGTTATTTGCTTAATAACCGAACGGTTGAAGAAGTTGAATAACCGTTCGGGTTCGGTTCGGTTCGGTTAATAACCGAATAACCGCGGTTAACCGAACGGTTATTGAGTTTTTTTAATATTTTAATTTTTATCCTCATTATTATTAGTATTATTTTTTTTTTATACTTCACTTTTAACCTTATATATTTCACCCAATAAACCATAAAATGTAATGTTTTTAATTTTTATCCTAATTATTGAAGTTTTTAGATTTTTTATAATTTTATTTTACATTATTAATCATTTTGTGCATTTATTTAAATAGATATTTTGAAATTTATGTAGGATTAATAATTTTTTTTTAAAAAAATATCATAACCGAACCGAACCGATCTAAAACCGAACCGAATAAACCGAAAAATATAACCGTTTGGTTATAATTTTATTATGCAAAAACCGAGTCGAACCGAACCGAAACCGAACTGAACCGAACCGATTAAATCTATATAACCGTTTGGGTATGATTTTTTTATAACCGAAATAACCGAACCCGAAATAACCGAACCGAAAACCGAACCGAAACCCGAAATGGCCACCCCTAATTTGGATTCGGATTTGAAAATTACGAGTACCCTAAAATCGGGTATCCGTGAGACGAGTATCCGACGGATACCCGATTTTCGGGTATTTGTGCCCAGCCCTAGGGAGTACCAATTAAATTTTTCCGTATTTAATAAAAATACATCGAAGAAAATATAAACTCTGCATTGTGTTTCTAAGTTTTTTTTATATAGCCAAAAAATTCACAAATTTGTTTGGACCGTTTAATTCGTGTGTGAAGATTATATATATATATTGTATGGGAAAAATGAAATTAGAGTTTTAGTTTTAGTTTTTTACGTATATATGTATCTTAATCAACAAATATAGAAGAATCGTATAGTAGTATTTATTTAGAATTTAATGGTTTTGATTATCAAAATGCAGACAATACATCCCAAACCAACAACAAACAAAACAGGAAATTTAATTAATTAAATCAAACAATTAGTCTAAAGATCATAGACAAGATTAAAGGTGGCGAGAAAGCAAAGCGAAAAATGCTAAGATATGCCCCCACGATAGGGCCAACAAAACAGACACGAGACAAGGAAATCGTGCCATTAAAGCAGCCCAAGTGTCATGAAAATTATAAACCAAAAAAAAAAAGTCGTACGGTAATTGGAAAATAGAAGAAAAATCGTCGGTGAATACGTAAGAAAGGAGCAGACATTATGATGGGAATTTGAAAAAACAAACAAACCATGAATGGAGTGTCTTAAAATCTGAGACTTTTTGATTGTTGCGGGTTTGAATATATACGAACTATTATTCTTAAAACGAAATTAATTAATGGAATTAATGTTATTAATTAACGCTTGCAATCTAAACTAAATGATAGAAAAATATATCAAATAATAATTGCATGGAGAGGAGGCGGAGACACTCAGAGGGAAAGGATGGTGGTAGGGTTGGTGGGGAACATCTCCACCCTTTTACTTTCTATCCTTTGTTTTTGGTTTGTTCATATATACATATATATATATGTATGTATAATATTAATATATATACTATGAATATATATATATATATAATGATGATGTGAGTGATATTTTGATCCTACATCTACTTGATTCCGGCTAATTTCATATGGTATAACTGTTGTTTTACGATAAGAAAAAATGTTCAGAAGCAAAAACAAAACGTTTTTTTTGTGGATCTCTCTCGAATGAATTCTGATTATGGGACGAATGATTTATATAATTAACGATCCACAATCACGAACAACGCTGCTTATAATTAATCATTTAATCTCATTTCCGTCTGTCTTCTTTCAAGGGTGGTTGTGGATTTGGACGAATAACAAGATGACACGTGGAATTAGACACGTGAATGTGAAATGCTGTCGTTTGAAAGAGGAAGTTCGGTGTCTCGCATTCTCGTGCTTGCAAACTGGTGTTAGTGGTGGATTCACTAGGTCCTCTCTTTTAAGGAAAAGCATTTATTACCCATGCATTTGCCTCTCTGTCTCGTGAACTTGGCGTCATCCGCAAGAATTATGACGTCAGCGCACTCGATTCGCCTTACGTTTTTTTTTTTAAATTATTCGTAAAGTCAGTTTTACTTTAATTATCATTCTTATTGAAAAAGGGGAAAAAAACTACTGCAGATGAAAAACAAATGGCGACGACGTGAATCATGCAACCTATGAAACTGTCGTCATGCTTGCATAGGATGGAGTCCGATGGTCGCAATTAGAAACAAGGTTAAAGTGGAATAAAACCATAATTAATCTTTTTAAAAAACGTGTTAAGAGGTCACTAAACGCGTTTTTTAAAAAGTCTAACACAGTCATCGATAACCCTTAATCATGGAATCGTGGTTTGTAGCACCCACGAATGCCTCAATGCGCGTCACGATAATCTCATGCAGTGAACATGATTTCGGACGAGGCATATATATATATATATATATACATACACAGATTTATGTAAATACACCTATACATAATTCTAATTGCATGAGTATATATTTATATGTCTCATCGCATATAATCGCATGATACACTAACTCTTAATTGTATGAGTCACCGATGACGTACCAATGGCTTGTTTAAATTTCAATCACATTTCCGTTGAATCAAAATAAAGACGCGCGACTGTTTAGAACAGGATTTTGACCGAGTCTCGCATGACACGTGTGCTTGTCTGCTACTACACAGACAACATCTCTTGCAAAATCAAATAAAGTTTTTGCTTCCGTATTAAATTATTCATATCTTCCCCTCTATATATACTCGCACGTTCAAAACAGGCATGGCGGCTCACTGCCTTATCTGGATCGGCCTAGAGAGAGAGAGAGAGAGAAATGGGGAGAGGGAGAAGCTCGTCGTCGTCGTCGATAGAGAGTAGCAGCAAGAGCAACCCATTCTGGATGAGCCGGAACCTGAGTACGGACCTGAGACTCGGACTGAGTTTCGGGTCGTCGACGGCGATGAAGTACGAGGAGGAGGAGGAAGAAGAAGAGGCGGTGGAGATGGAGGAGGAGGAAGAGAGAGAGTGTAGCAGCGTTGGGAGCTTATACGTGAAGGTGAACATGGAGGGTGTTCCCATCGGAAGAAAGATCGATCTCTTCGCTCTCGCTGGTTATCACCACCTTATCACTACTCTCGATCTCATGTTCGACACCTCCATCCTCTGTACGTCTCTCTCTCTCTCTCTCTCTCTCTCTCTATGTATATATATATATATGCATGTGAATGTGCATGTGTACGATTTCATCGTAAAACTTATTAGAATTGTCGGATTTTCTTTTCGTACTATGATATATATTATTTATACGATTCATACAATACTAAACGTAATTAAAAAAAAATGGAAGCAGGGGCGGAAGAGGAAGAGACATGCAGCGAGAAGACACACGTGCTAACGTACGCCGACAAGGAAGGCGACTGGATGATGGTTGGCGATGTCCCTTGGGAGTGAGTACTCTCCATCTCACTATATATATATTGTTTTATCTTTTCATTTTGTTATCATTATTTATGATTTTAAAGTTTTACATACATATATGTATGTATGTATATACATATTATCACTACTAAAACTAAGTTGTTTTTTGATGGAAGGATGTTCTTGTCAAGTGTGAGAAGATTGAAGATCACGAGGGCTTACCACTATTGACTTCTACGTGCAAGTGGAAGAACTCTTTTACGTTTTGTGGGTTCATTTTTTTTTTTTGGGAAATATAAGTAATGTACAATGGAATCTTAGGTAGGAGGATGAACAAATACATTTGACCCACTCTGTAAAAAAAAAAAAACATGAAAAATCCATAAAAACTGTTTCCAAAATAAAAAAAAAATCCTCACATATGGGAAATCACTCGGATTATTTTCTTCACTGCATACAGAATTACAGAAAAATAGGGAAAAAAGAAAAAGAAAAAACAAAATTCATCAACCCAAGAATAAAAAATTTCCCATCTCTAAAATCGAAATCCTTCACGGAAAAGAAAAAGAAAGAAAGGAGAATTGATTTCTTCACAACCAAGCAAGTGGTTCTTGTACTTACCAAGACAGCAACCAGGATCTTCTGCTTTGGCTGCCCGATCTCTGGAGAACATTCTTAAGACCGTAACAGTCTGAACTATGATCAGGAAATATGGTTTCTTGCAGAGGATCGCAAGTGATGTCAGGCGAAACCCACTGAGAATACCCTCGAACATACGAGCACTTCCATGGCGATTTCCTCGAGCTCTTCACTTGCAGAGAAACATTAACCAGACAGATATTCTTGAACTCATCTCCCTCGATACCTTGAAAGAGACCTGCAACTCCGATGCTGTCCCCTGTAAAATTCTCAAACGTGATCTTTTCGATCAAGGGAAAGGCTTTCGGGTCGTATTTTCCATCTGGGTGTTCCCCGTATTGCCCCGTGAACCGAATGGCGATACTTACATTCTCCAGCTTCACGTTCGATACGTAAACGTTCCTTACATATCCTCCTCTCCCCGGGGATGTCTTGATTCTTATACCTGTCTTTGAGTTGTATAAATGTACGTCTTCTACGTGGATTTCGGACACTCCCCCTGACATTTCGCTTCCAATGGCGATGCCTGAACTGGAAGTAGTTTGCCCGGTCAAACGGCTGATCTTGATCCTAGTGCTTGGACGTGCATACGATATTCCATACTCATCCCATCCGCTTTTTATGGAAACAAGATCATCTCCTGTCACTATATAGCAGTCCTCTATGCAAACATCATTGGATGAATCTGCGTGTGAATGTAAACCTCAGCTGAAACCTCAACAACAATGACAACATGAATCCAAATATATGAACACAAACAGAAAGTCTAGTTCTCTGTCAGAAGAACACTGAAAACAGAGCAATCTTATCCAAGTTTCCTATCAAACCACGGTCTTGCTTTTGTGAAACCTCGACTCCAAAAGTAACAATCTACTCGATTTAGAACGGCAGGGTATATAAGCTGGAAGCTCACCTGGATCGACTCCGTCTGTATTTGGAGATTCAAGTGGAGCCAAGATAGTGAGATTCTTTACAACAACATCTATATATATATATATGCATGTGAATGTGCATGTGTACGATTTCAGCGTAAAACTTATTAGAATTGTCGGATTTTCTTTTCGTACTATGATATATATTATTTATACGATTCATACAATACTAAACGTAATTAAAAAAAAATGGAAGCAGGGGCGGAAGAGGAAGAGACATGCAGCGAGAAGACACACGTGCTAACGTACGCCGACAAGGAAGGCGACTGGATGATGGTTGGCGATGTCCCTTGGGAGTGAGTACTCTCCATCTCACTATATATATATTGTTTTATCTTTTCATTTTGTTATCATTATTTATGATTTTAAAGTTTTACATACATATATGTATGTATGTATATACATATTATCACTACTAAAACTAAGTTGTTTTTTGATGGAAGGATGTTCTTGTCAAGTGTGAGAAGATTGAAGATCACGAGGGCTTACCACTATTGACTTCTACGTGCAAGTGGAAGAACTCTTTTACGTTTTGTGGGTTCATTTTTTTTTTTTGGGAAATATAAGTAATGTACAATGGAATCTTAGGTAGGAGGATGAACAAATACATTTGACCCACTCTGTAAAAAAAAAAAAACATGAAAAATCCATAAAAACTGTTTCCAAAATAAAAAAAAAATCCTCACATATGGGAAATCACTCGGATTATTTTCTTCACTGCATACAGAATTACAGAAAAATAGGGAAAAAAGAAAAAGAAAAAACAAAATTCATCAACCCAAGAATAAAAAATTTCCCATCTCTAAAATCGAAATCCTTCACGGAAAAGAAAAAGAAAGAAAGGAGAATTGATTTCTTCACAACCAAGCAAGTGGTTCTTGTACTTACCAAGACAGCAACCAGGATCTTCTGCTTTGGCTGCCCGATCTCTGGAGAACATTCTTAAGACCGTAACAGTCTGAACTATGATCAGGAAATATGGTTTCTTGCAGAGGATCGCAAGTGATGTCAGGCGAAACCCACTGAGAATACCCTCGAACATACGAGCACTTCCATGGCGATTTCCTCGAGCTCTTCACTTGCAGAGAAACATTAACCAGACAGATATTCTTGAACTCATCTCCCTCGATACCTTGAAAGAGACCTGCAACTCCGATGCTGTCCCCTGTAAAATTCTCAAACGTGATCTTTTCGATCAAGGGAAAGGCTTTCGGGTCGTATTTTCCATCTGGGTGTTCCCCGTATTGCCCCGTGAACCGAATGGCGATACTTACATTCTCCAGCTTCACGTTCGATACGTAAACGTTCCTTACATATCCTCCTCTCCCCGGGGATGTCTTGATTCTTATACCTGTCTTTGAGTTGTATAAATGTACGTCTTCTACGTGGATTTCGGACACTCCCCCTGACATTTCGCTTCCAATGGCGATGCCTGAACTGGAAGTAGTTTGCCCGGTCAAACGGCTGATCTTGATCCTAGTGCTTGGACGTGCATACGATATTCCATACTCATCCCATCCGCTTTTTATGGAAACAAGATCATCTCCTGTCACTATATAGCAGTCCTCTATGCAAACATCATTGGATGAATCTGCGTGTGAATGTAAACCTCAGCTGAAACCTCAACAACAATGACAACATGAATCCAAATATATGAACACAAACAGAAAGTCTAGTTCTCTGTCAGAAGAACACTGAAAACAGAGCAATCTTATCCAAGTTTCCTATCAAACCACGGTCTTGCTTTTGTGAAACCTCGACTCCAAAAGTAACAATCTACTCGATTTAGAACGGCAGGGTATATAAGCTGGAAGCTCACCTGGATCGACTCCGTCTGTATTTGGAGATTCAAGTGGAGCCAAGATAGTGAGATTCTTTACAACAACATCACTATTCCACAGAAAACAAAAGAAGATAAAAGAAAACCCATCTCAGATACTTCCCTTACTAACAATTCAGCGGAAAAAATATACGGAAATAGATGAGAGTTTATAAGTTAGATGACCTGCAGTACACTGGGTGGATGTTCCAGAAGGGTGAGTTCAAGAATGTCAGGTTGGAGACTACTACACCAGTTGAGTTCACCAGCTCAACAAGATGCGGTCTCGTATAATTCAGCTCTCCATTTCTAAACCAATCCCACCATACACTTCCTTGGCCATCGATTGTACCATTCTCACCTGTAATACACGCGTCAGCAGCGACATCGAAGAGTTCGCACAAACCCAAAAAAATAAAAGAAGATATACTTCATCGAAAACCATAATCACACCTGTTATAACCACATCTGTCAGGTTTTGGCCATATATAAGACTCCTATGCCTTCCCCCGGGCAACTCCCTTCCTCGCCCATATGATGGTAATGGATCAACAACTGGCCAATCACCCGGGTCCTGAGGAAAGTAAGCTATATAAGCAATCAGATAGCACATATCTTACTCCGGAGATCAGGGCTGATGTAACAAGCTGTGCTTATAACAAGGGAACAAAAGGGTGATGTAAAGACAGAGACTTGCCATTGACCCGAGAATGGTAGCGCCCTTATCTAGCCATAGAGTGAGATGACTGATGAGATCGAAACTTCCGGTTAACCACCGGCCAGAGGGTACAAAAAGCTTGGCACCACCTTTATCAGAGAAAGAATTGAGGTAGAACATTGCATTCTGAAAGGCTTTAGTGTTCAAGGCCACCCCATCTCCAACAGCTCCAAACTCGGTTATGGAGACGCTATGAGGCCGGACAAAACTCCCTGAATTCAAGTCCAAGTACTCACAATGAAGGCTGCCTTCCACAGCCCACAGAGCTCCATCTAGCAATTCCAGGACCAGAAGCACATACAACAGCTGAAACACACACAAAACCCTGAGATTTCTCAAGTTTCAATCTAAATAAAACCATACTTGGGCATAAAACTTTAACAAGATCCAAAGGGCGCAGAGTTGGATGAGCTACATTTCACCAGCAACATGCTAATGTAAGTAGAAGAGGATAAAAATCTTGAACAGCAAAAAACCTTAAATTCCACGAAAAGTCTCCATCTTTCCTTAAACATTGCAGTGGGGAGATAAGATTATGATGATCCTATGAGGAAGCAGCTAGAGATTTGCAGTTAAGATCTCACTGACAAGATTTACCAAATGGAGAGAAACCCTGGATCTTAACAATGTTATGTGCAGCAAAAGCAAAATTCGATGCATAAAGATAGTAACTTACAAGGAAAGATCTCTTCATATGAATGAGATCTACGATCCCCTTCAACTAATTATTCAGCTCCACCGCCGAAAAAAGCAAAAGAAGATGCAGAAACTGAAACACAAGAGAAGATCTTCGCAACCCAACAACCGGATTTATTTGCTTTGACTGCCTTTCTCTCATAAGAGAAAGATCACCATCTGAACCCGACTACCCAAAAACCAATCTCTCTCTCTCTCTCCCCCTCTCTTTCTCTGTATGAGCAAGTTGCAAGACTGATTAGATGGGTCAGTGTTAAGAGGGAGCCACCGGCACCAACAGAGGGAAAAAAATCATTGAAAGTGACCGTTGCTGCCCGCCAAAATTCAAGCAGTAGGCCCATCCTTCACCTTCCCCGTATCCATTACCATCACCGTCTCTTTAGCATACGCTTCTTTTCTCCTCGCTACAGCGACCGTACGATAATGGCAAACAAGAGAAACCCAGAAAGGGGAAACACCAAATTAAAGCAACAAAGATTAAAATAAAAAAGAAAACACAGTCGATGAAATCTAAGCTGTTTTGGCAACGCGCTCTGATGTTCTGTGAGAAAGAGACAAAGAGGGACAGAGAGACAGAGAGAGAGAGAGAGAGAGAGAGTCCAGTTCCCATCTGTTAATCAACGCTAGCTTCGACCAAGCCATCTCTTTTTCTTTCTTTTTTTTTGAATTCAACGTATTCCATGTGATCCGAGCGAAAAAAATAATACGGAAACAGGAGGAAAAATGGAAAATTGGCATGGATTTCTGCATCTTCCGCCGACGCATACAAAGAAAAGGGTTTTCGTAAAGTGCTCTCCTTTTTTTTTCCCGACTTCTTGTTTGTGTCCTTGTTTGTTTGTTTTCAAAAAAAAAAAAAAAAAATTCTCTGCTCATCGTTTTGGCATCACGAGACAAACGGTGTCGTTTTCATCCGGGAAATATGAAAAAGCTGATTTTTTTTGCGGAACCGTTTGTACATGTCGCAGCAGGCCGCAGTGATTAGAGATTGGCTGCACATATTATTTTGATTTTGATCTTTCGTTATGAGTTTTTTTTCCCACTATTATAAAACCCTGTATTTAGACGTAGGTGGTACCGTATCTTATATACACAACCATATTTTATAGCTCTATAATATGATATCGTATATCACTTTTGGTCGACGATTTTACTGATTGTTATGTATCATCATCATCCAATGGAAAATGCATAACAGAGTCAATCGGTTTCTTTATTTTTCCCCGTTTTGAATTTTTGGTCGCAGAATCGAGGGTCAGTAGACCAATGATGAGCAATAGACCTCCTATAATAAAAGAAATGAAATACATAATAAAAATAAAATACAAAAAAAAAATTATTTTGAAAATTTGTTGACGAATGGGGCAGGAAATTATACAAAACGAAGGGAGAGAGACAAGAGAGACGAAATGATGTGTGCAAATAAAGGCTGCATCATATCCTATGTAACGCAACATAATTATTCTACATTTTTATTTGGTCTAAAATCAGCAAACACACATATTACATATATATGGGTCGGTCTCTCTCTCTCTCGGCGTAATCAGGGATAATCATGCAATTTATGAGAAACATACACACGCTTAATTATACTTAATTAGTGACAAAAACGACGCAATCAAATAAAAATAAAAAGAGAGCCTTTGTGACATTAGAGCACAATCCTACAAGACAGATCATAGTTGTGCCATACATTTTTGTTTGGACAAAATTTCAATTTTACGGATACTTTTATGGATGATCATGCTGCGCAGTAGTCCATATTTTGGTTTTAAATTTAGGCTGGGAAGAACTTTCAAACTTTTTCGATTTCAAAAACTAACAATTAAGTTTCTTTTAATTTGATTTTTCTAAAAAATTTTAAATTTAATTCATGAAAAAAATCACTTAAAAACTAAAAGCGACGTTTTTTTAAATTTACAAATCTATAAAATTCAAAAACCGAAAATTAAAAATTAAAATCTAAAAACCAAAAACGAAATGCAAAAACTAAATCCATTCAACACTTTTATCTTTACCTTTTATCTTTAATCATCGGCACTTTCAATGAAATGAAAATACAGATGATTTTTGTTATGAGCAGTACTAGGAGTAGGAAGCGGATGTATTTTTAGAATTCGTAATTGTGTATTTAAACTAGGGGTGGGCACGGGTCGGGTACCCCCAATTTTTAGAAAACCCTGTCTCGTCTTCATTACCACGGGTTTTACAAAAATATTATCTCAGTCTTGGCTTCATAAAATCCGGGTACTTGTAGCTCGGGTTTAATGAGATTCTCGGTCTTGTCTTCGCGGGTACCCGGACCCATACGATTTATAAAATTTTGAACTATAAAATGATAGATATAGAAAATACAAATGAGAGAGGTCAAAGTATAAAGAGAAAAATTCACGATGAAGAGGGATGACTAAAATTTTGAGAGAGAGATGAATGGTTGATTCGGTTATATAGGATGAGATTTAGAATGATGAAATTTTTGTATAGAAAGGTTTAGAATATAAAAAAAATTAACTAAAATAAAAGTATTTTAATAAATAATAAGAATAATTTAGACAAAAATGTTATAGATATAAAGTATATTTTAGATTTTTAACAAATATACCGGGTACCCCAAGTACCCTTTGTAAAATAATTGAACCCCCACTCGGACTCGGGGGTCGAAAATTTAGTCTTATTAATACTCGATCTCATCATCGTTAATATTCGGGTACCCTTTATTCGGGTACTTGTTAAGCCGGGTAACTCCAAACCCCCGGGTTACGGGTTAAAATGCCCACCCCTAATTTAAACATATGTTTATAATAATTCCCAAATTACGCACGCCAAATAAAAAAGGGCAGGAGGGTTACAAAATCACATCAATCAACGGTTTCGCTCAAAACTGAATAAATAGAAGCGCCTTTTAAGCCGCAAAATAAGAAATTTCCGGTCGTTTATGACATTTCAGCAGACAGCAACAGGATTTTATCAGCAGACAGAAAAAAAACGCAGCGACGTGACATTGAAAATTTAGTAACTCCTTCCCCAGTAGGTCCACTTCTTGGCTGGTTTCCCCGAGGCAAAGCAAAGGGTGCCTGCACAAACAACACGTTTTGAAGTTGTAACATGTACAATACAAGTGATAACTATATATAGATAGACATTGTGAGAGGTTACCTTCGGGGAGTTCAGGCTGGTCGAATGGGGAGCAGAGTGACTTAGCTGCTCCCATTTCACCTTTGGTCCGTGCCTTCACATCCCTCTCCACTTCCTGTAATAACCCAAAAAAGAAAAAAAAAATTTAATCGGAAAATGTTGGTTATTTGGATGGGTCTTTGATCGGCTAGTTCGATGACTTTTATGGGGGGATAAGATTCTGGGCAAGAGGACGCACTTCTTCATCACACCATGGAGCTAAGATCAATTTCTTTTGGCCGAGCGCTTCCACAAATTCGTCCCAAGTTTTGGCCACTTGAACACAGGCATCCTTCTTTTGCTTCGCCACCTCGTACAGGTTCTGCTGTATCTTGTCAAGGATCTCCTTAACTTGTTCGACTAAGCTGTCTCTCGAGATATCTGTCTTCACCCCATTGTCTCGCCTCACTGTCCTGACCTGTTGTGGATGCAAACCATATAGATTTTCTATTACCAGACATCAACAACATGATCAGGCCTATAAGAAGTTTGTCAACAGGTCATTTCTCGGTTGCCATTTCTAGATGGAAGATACAAGAGAGGAGCACTAAACACTGACCTGGTTGTTGGCCAAATCTTTGGGTCCAATTTCAATTCTTAATGGAACACCCTTCATTTCCCAGTGAGAGTACTTCCAGCCAGGTGAGTAGTTGTCTCTAAAATCTGCTTCAGCAGAAATACCTGCTTCCGACAAGGCAGATACAGTGGCAGCACATGCATCGAATATTCCCTTGGTATCGGCATCTTTGTAAGGCACAGGGATCACAACAACTTGAACAGATGCAACTTTGGGAGGGAGCACCAAGCCTTTGTCATCTCCATGGGTCATGATTAGAACTCCAATCTATACAATGTTTTGAAATTGAAAGAGCTTAGAACAACAGTGTTTAAGTGTAAGAACATCAACATAATGTAGTCAGTAGTCTTTGAAAAGAAGAGAGAGGAAAGCTTTTCCATATCATGTAAACTACAAAATTCCAAAAGAACGCAGCCATGAAAACCATGAGCAAGAATTTCTGAATGAAGCTCACCGTTCTAGTACTGTATGCCCAAGAATTTTGCCACACCATCCCTTTCTCTCCTTTCTCGTTTTCAAAGTTAATATCGAACATCTTCGCAAAGTTTTGGCCCAAACAATGCGATGTTGCACCTTGTACACCACGGCCCGTGTTAGGAATGAAAGCCTAACACATGACATGAGAGTACCACTTTATAAATGCAGACAAAATTCCAAGAGTAAAGTTATAAGATAGATACATTTGAGCATATTCCTTGTCAGCCCAGAAAAAAAGATAGGCATAAAAGTCACATACCTCTACACTTGTGGTGTAGAGTCCACCAGCAAACTTCTCGTTTTCACTCTTCATACCTTTTACGACTGGGATTGCTAGGAATTCTTCATAAATGCGACGGTAAAGTTCCAATATTTGAAGAACCTAAAAGGTATATGAACTTCCAAATCACGTTGTGCAACTAAAAGAGTTCATATAGTAAAATAAGCGGGCCGTATTGGCCCACAGGTAAAAGTTTATGTTCTCACACCTCTTCATCAGCCTCTTCTTTAGTGGCGAAAGCAGTGTGCCCTTCCTGCCAGAGGAACTCACGGCTCCTGCAATAAAATTGGCAAGCAAGCTGATAAATTTCCTGTATCAAGAGCTTTGACGGCAGAAACATTAATTTCCAAAAGCAAGCTAGGTCTAGAATAACATCTAGGCACAGAATCAATCAACACAACGAATTCAGTGAAACTAAACATTTGACAAATACCTGATAAATGGAGTGGGATTGCTGAACTCCCATCTGACAACATTGCACCATTGGTTAAGCCTCAAAGGCAAGTCACGGTGTCCTCGTATCCACTTGGAGTAGTATGGATACATCACAGTCTCACTAGTTGGGCGGATAGCAATTGGAACTTCCAGTTCAGATTTGCCTGATTTTGTAACCCAAGCAACCTAGACATAACATTTAGATACGCTAAACAAAGACATGTCATCATAAAGACAATTCCTCTAGATTTCAGACACACCACACACCTCAGGAGCAAATCCCTCTATATGGTCCTTCTCCTTCTCGAGGACACCAGGTGATACAAACAGAGGGAAGTAGCAGTTCTTGACCTTCATCTTCTTGATTTCCGCATCAAAGAAAGTCTACAAAGAAACCCACCGAAACCAATATGATTCAATATATCGGGTTGCAATTGTCAATGTAAAGATTCTAAACTAAGGGATAACCCAAAAGAAGATACTAGCTCACTTGCATAATCTCCCAAATTGCCATGGCCCAGGGACGAAGGATATAACATCCAGAGATATCATAGTATTCGATCATCTCCCCATGGACACAAACCTGGACAGGCAAAACAGACACCATTCATCAAATAGAGATAAAAATTCAAGCATTATTGGATCTCATGGGAATCAAGACAAGATTTATACTTTCACCACAGCAGAAATGCTGAAAGGAAGTGAAATATAACCATACCTCAGAATACCATTCTCCAAAATTCTCATCTTTCTTGTAGGAGAGACCGAGACCAGTTTCCTTTTTCACTTCCTTCTTCTTTCCACCAGCACCAGCTGCCTTCTTCCCTTCCTTCTTCTTTCCCTCGGGACCCGCCATATCAGCTTATATCTGAATGCATCAACAACAACAAAAAAAACAGGTGAGACCCAAACGTTTTGTAAATGAAATCAAATGCGAAAACGTTTGCTCCAAAAACCAAATTTATTCCTCCTTGACCACTAAAACAACCAGCATGGGCCAGCAGATTCAAGAAAACGTTACGACAAACCGCAGCTTCTGGCAGATCAAAATCAAAGTTATGTGCAATGAACGAAGCGAAACACTGCCAAGCACTAACGAATGAGCAGATCTAAGCTCGTTAAAAAACTGTCGAGACAAGTCAAATGACGAAGATATTATTAAAACTAACATTGAAGAACATAAGAATCCAAAATTCGACCAATTGACCATCTAAAACATCTGATACAACGAAAAACGCATAAGGCAAGCAGATTCGAGCACCGGGTTGAACAAAAACTCTGACACAACGCCGAAAAAAAACCGACAGATTCCAAGATCAACGCAAAACAAAAGAAGGGAAAGAGAAGAGGAACCTAACCACCCAGCAAAGAGACTTTGGATTCGATTCCTCGTTTGATCTCCGCCGCGAAGACGAAGAAGACAGAGAAAATGGCGGAGACAAAAGCGGCAACGAAAGATAACAAGAGGGGAGAACGAAAATGAGAGAGGGATTAAACTCCCGACCATGTAACGGAGCTCGCACCAAAGTGAATATGCCACGTACTAGGGTTCAAGCTATCTCATTGGGCAATTATGGATTTAAATGGGCCTGGCCCATGTTCCGGTCAAAAAGTCAACGATTCCTTAGTATGGAGCAGATTTTTCAACGCTAGTTGTATTTATTATACTCCAGAAATTATAATCACATTTGGATCTTAGTTCGTGGAATCATTGGAATATGGTTAGGTCATGGAATATTTGTTTAATCATGGATTGGTAATGACATACCATCTACTTCACGAGAGGATTTGGATACAATGGACTTCTTTATTTGCAAAGCCCAATTTGGGCCCATTCCATGTGATCCACTGAAAGCCCAAAATCTTGGACCATATAACACACTGTATTTTTTTAGTTCGTTAGTGCCTTCTCCGTAAAAATTCGGAATCATAGCATTCGAGAGTGTATGCTTCGATCGAAAACCTGAGAGAGAGAGGGAACGGGGAACAGAAATGGAGGAAGAATCGGGGAAGCCTGTGAGATTGATGAATTTCGTCTCGGAGGAGCAGGTATCCGCACAAACCCTAGATTCGTCCCCTCCTGTTTTTTTTTTCTTTTTTGGTTTAGCGTTTCTTTCGGACAGGAAACTTATGCCTTTTTCGGTTGAATCGATTTGGGGACACAGTTAGATGAAGCGAAGAAAGCGAGAGGTGCAAGAGTGGAGGATGGCACTCTCCTGAGAGACAAGGCCCTCTACGAGGTTCTTCCCTTTCTTTCCCATACTCTTTTTTCTTCTTCTTTTGCTTCATAATTTGCTTGCAATTTCGTTAGCATCTCCTGCGATTTTCGTCTTTCAGCTCATTTGTTTGTGGTGTGTGCACATTATGGGCAAAGAAAGGTTTCCTCTTTTCTGAGAACTCATTGCTCACGCCTCCCACTGCATTGTTGAATTGTAATGGGCTTTCAGCTTTGCGTAGAATTTATTCACGACAACTGTGGAAAGAGTTCTGTTATGTGGCTAAAATGTCATGCTAGGTGGGTTGTGTGGTCTGTGTCTGAGGATACTTTCCATTTCCTCTCGTAGCTAAGCTCTTTGTTGGCGGTTTGTTTGCTGGTTTGACTGATGCATCCTCTCTTTTCTTTTCCTCACTTTGATTCGAGCTTTCGAATGCAGATTTTGAGAGAGAATAAAGAGAAGAAAGATGCCGAGTTTAACGAACGCTTCAAGCATAGTGAGTGTTGTTATTTATGTTATTACTCCCTTACAGGCTTTCTTGGATGTAGTGTAAGCAAATCCGATTCCATGGTTTGAACCTGTGCATGATTATTTCAGTGGATCGGAGGCTAGGAAGGTCTTCTTGTTTGCAAGAACTTTCCTTTTGGTTTCCAAGTGACTGTTATAAACAGGAAGAGTTAACTATGCCTTCTGTTCAGTATTTGGGGAAGAACATCAAAAGGTTTTTTATCTGGTTTGCCAGGACCACCCAAAGCTTTGGATGAAGATGAGACCGAGTTTCTTGATAAGCTGGAAACGGTGAGTGAGAACTGCGCATTGGGCGTCTGATATTCTCTTTTGAAGTTGGAAATTTTGAGTTATGTTGTCCTGTTTCTTTCTTTATGCTTAATTCACCGCATATCTTATGGCCCTGCCCTTTTAGGAATTGATGAGTTGATATCTGTAAGTTCTTACTGGAGGAAACCCCAAGAAGAAAAATGATAATGATTCGGGGGGCTTCACCCCTTATGCCATCTCTTTCAATCCTTAGTTTCCATTCTAAATATTCTCTGTTTTCTTTCTTTAAAGACGAGAAGGGAGTATGAGCGGCAGATGGCAGATGAAGAAGCAGAACAGCTCAGGAGTTTCCAGGTCATTTTTAAAGGAGAACCCCGCAAATTTACTGTTAGATTCTTACGGGTTCCTGGAATTAAGATAAGAAAATTCTAGTGTAGAAACCACTCTTGTTCCCTTGTTTCACATCCATGGCCAAATGAACTGAGTATTTTTTATATTCAGTGTCTGAAAGCTAATGTCAAGTCTTGATCTTTCTCTTCATATTACGCCCTTATTGGTTCTGTTTGTTAGCAGGCAGCAGTGGCTGCACAGTCAGCAAGTGTTCAGGAGTTGAAGGAACCACAGCATGCACCTTCTCCCACCCAGGTGGGTTTATCATGTAACCGTGGTTATTTCCAAAGGATATGGATGTGTGTATGCTGAAAACATGCATGGACATGGCATTTTGATGAACACATGGGTGTTTTTGCTTTATCAGGAACAGAAACAAACAGGGAAGAGGAACCCGACCAGCCGTCCATTGAACATGATCATAAAAGTGAAGCCACAGCCAAAGAAGGCTAAGCCATCAGAGGAAAGCCCTAAAGACACTCCAGGGAGTGGAAAGTCCTCAGCTTTTGTCAAAGCCATGACCAAGGATGATACAAATAAAATGGGTCTAGGCCTTGTCTCATATTGTGACGAAAGTGAAGACGATTAACACTCTCATATGAGTAAATCTGCAATTTTTTTTGGGTTTCATACTGTGTTAATGTACTTTTGTTCATAAACTCGCAAATACAAACCAAAAAAAAGAAAAGGAAGAAAAGAGTTTAAGTAGAAGCACTCAGATGAAGCTGTACTAAAGAAGCATAAACACCGTCTTTGATATTGATCAAAGTTTCATGCTTCCCCTTCTCAACGATGACTCCGTTCTTAACCACGGCTATGACGTCAGCGTTCTTGATGGTCGATAACCGGTGAGCCACCACCACGGTGGTCCGGTTTACCATCACCCGGTCCAGCGCGTCCTGAACCACCCGCTCAGATTCCGCGTCCAGAGCACTGGTTGCTTCGTCAAGTAACAGCACTTTCGGGTCCTTCACAATGGCTCTGGCTATGGCTACTCGCTGCTTCTGTCCTCCTGATAACTGTACTCCTCTTTCTCCCACCATCGTGTCATACCCCTGTTCGTATAGAATTTTTCAAGCCCATTTCATGTATCAGTATCGTGATTCAATCAGTGGAGTATTTTTGCTGAGATTGATTCTACCTGTTGCAGGCCACTGATGAATCTGTGGGCATTGGAGAGTTCAGCTGCGGATATGATTTCGGATTCGGTAGCGTTTCCTCCTTTGCCATAAGCGATGTTGGCTCTAATGGTGTCGTTGAACAAGACGGGTTCTTGGCTCACCAGTCCCATTTGCTGCCTCAGCCATTTGAGCTTCAGTCTCTGAATCTCGACTCCATCGAGAGTGATATGACCCGAATCCGGATCATAAAACCTCTGCAGCAATGCTATCACCGTCGATTTGCCGCTTCCGCTTTCTCCGACCAAAGCCACTGTCTGTAGCAAAGAAGAGAAAAATGGAATCAGGGTTCTACTTTTAGGGTTCATCTTGTGCGATTCCGAGGTGAAAGCCCTGACCTTTCCGGAACGGATGGTGAGACAGAGATCCTGGAAGATCTGGACGTCTGGTCTTGATGGGTATCTGAAACTGACATGACGGAGCTCGATGTCTCCCTTAACGTTGTCTAGAACTGTCCCTGATTCATCACTCGGGTCAATCTTTGATTTCCTGTCGATAATGGCAAAGATGGAAGCTGCGGCCACGTCTGCTTTGCTTGAATCAGGAGTCAAGGAACTTGACTGGGAAATGGCCATAGCCGCCATTGTCAAAGCAAAGAACACCTGTTCAGACATTACAAAACACACGTCCGTGAGATTTTGGAAGAAAACAAAACATCATCATGTTATGGTTTCTCCGGAAAAATGTGTTTACCCTGAAAACAGAGTCGAAGGTGGTTTTCCCATCATCCACCAACCGACCTCCTGCGTAGAAACTGGTCGCGTAAGAAGCGAACAAGACGAAGAAGGAAACCCCAAAACCGATACCGCTAACTAAGCCTTGACGTATCCCTGTCTTCATAGGACCTTCACACTTCTTCGTGTACATCTTCATCACCCTTTCTTCCGCGCAGAAAGAAGCTACTGTTCTTATGCTTCCAACCGCGTCATTGGCCACTTGGCTTGCTTGTTCATACATTTTCTGCAACAGTTTCCAACCCGTCAGACGAAGATTTACATAATCAAAGATGCAGTCCAGTGTTTGTGTACATGTATATGTGTATGTATGTATCTACCTTTGCATCAGCACTGAAACCTTTCATGAACTTCATGTATACGAACCCATTAAGCGCTATAAGCGGGAGCATGGCGAGAACAATGAAAGCTAATTGCCAAGAAGCTGTAAACGCAATGACCAAACCAGCCACCACAGAGGAGAGATTCTGAACAGCCTGAGCCAATGCATCACCCACCAGACCACGAATAGTGGCTGGGGGCG